GGATTGAACTGGCGTCTCTGGCATTACAGGCAGATTCTTTATCACTGAGGCACCCGGGAAGTCACCAAGACTGCATGGGAGTTACCTTCCCCCCAATACCCTCTCCAGAATTTATTATTTGTAGACTTTTTGATGATAGCCATTCTGACTGGTGTGTAGTGATACCTCATTGTAGTTTTGATTTGCATTTCTCTAATAATTAGTGATGTTGAACATCTTTTCTCGTGTCTGTTGGTCATTTGTATGTCTTCTTTGGAGAAATGTCTAGATTTTCTGCCCATTTTTTGATTGAGTTGTTGGATTTTTGATACGGAGCTATGTGGTGGTGGTGTTCAGCCGCTCAGTCGTGTCTCTTTGTGACCTCATGGATTGTAGCATGCCAGGCCCCCCTGTCCTTCACCATTTCCCAGAGTTTGCTCAAACTCATGTCTATTGAGACAGAAATGCCATCCAACTATCTCATTCTCTGTCATCCCCTTCTCCTCCTGCCTTCAATCTTTCCCAGCATCAGGGTCTTTTCCAGTGAGTTAGTTCTCATCAGGTGACCAAAGTATTGGAGCCTCAGCTTCAGCATCAGTCCTTCCAATGAATATTCAGGGTTGATTTCCTTTAAGGTTGACTAGTTTTATCTCCTTGCTGTCCAAGGGACTCTTAAGAGTCTTCTCCAACACCACAGTTTGAAGGCATCAATTCTTCAGCACTCAGCCTCTCCAGCTTGATTTCAGCTTGTGATTGACACAACCATCATTTCGCATGATGTACTCGGTACAGAAGTTAAATAAGCAGGGTCACAACATACAGCCTTGACATACTCCTTTCCCAGTTTTGAACCAGTCTGTTGTTCCATGTCTGGTTTTAACTGTTGCTTCTTGACCTGCATACAGTTTTCTCAGGAGGTGAGTTACATGAGCTGTTTGTATATCTGGAAAATCAATCACTTGTTGGTTGCATTGTTTGCAAGTATTTTCTCCCAGTCTGTAGGCTGTCTTTTCATTTTGTTTATGATTTCCTTTGCTGTGAAAAAGCTTTTAAATTTAGTGAGACCTCATTTGTTTATTTTTGTTTCTACTGCCCTGCCACTACTCTAGGAGATGAATCAAAAAAATATCGCTGTGATTTGTGTTATAGAGTGTTCTGCTTGTATTTTCCTCTTCCTCTAGCCGTTCCGTATTTCAAAAATTATAAGATGCTGGTGAAAGAAATTGAAGACAACACAAACAGATGGAAAGATTCACCATGTTCTTGCATTGGAAGAATAAATACTGTTGAAATGACCATACTACCCAAGGTAATATACAGATTCAATGCAAACCTATCAAATTACCAATGGCATTTTTCACAGAACTAGAGAGAAAACTTTTAAAGTTTGTATGGAAACACAAAATAACCAAACAATCTTGAGAAAGGACAGAACTCGAGGAATCATGTACCCTGACTTTAGAAAAGACTACAAAACTGTAGTAATCAAAACAGAATGGTACTGGCACAAAAACAGATACTAGATCAATGGAACAGGACAGAAAATGGAAAAAGAAACCTACATACTTAATGATCAATCAATCTATGACAAAGAAGGCAAGAAAACACAATGCGGAAAATACAATCTTTTTAATAAGTGGCTCTGGGAAAACTGGACAGTTTCATGTAAAAGAATGAAATCAGAACATTCTCTAACACCATATACAAAAATAAACTGAAAATGATTAAAGGCCTAAATGTAAGACTATATTCTCTTGTGACTCTTATTAGGGTACTTACTAATCTCATTCATGAGGGCTCCACCCTCCTAACCTCAGTTCAGTCACTCAGTCGTGTCCAACTTTTTGTGACCCTGTGGACTGCAGCACGCCAGCCCTCCCTGTCCACCACAAACTCCCGGAGTTTACTCAAATTCATGTCCATGATGCCATCCAACCATCTCATCCTCTGTCATCCCCTTCTCCTCCTGCCTTCAATCTTTCCCAGCATCAGGGTCTTTTCAAATAAGTCAGCTCTTCGCATCAGGTGGCCAAAGTATTGGAGTTTCAGCTTCAACATGAGTCCTTCAGTCCTGACCTCATTTGATCCTAATTACCTCCCAATGGCCCACCTCCTAAAACCATCTCATTGGAGATGAGGGTTTCAATACATTAATTTTGGGATGACACAAATATTCAGCTCATATCACCAAATACAGTCATATTGGCAGGTATGGTTTCAACATATGAATTTGGAGGAGCCATGATTCAGTACATAGAAGATATTAAGGTTCTAAGGGTATGGAATTCCATTAGAAGCTCTGCAAATAATTTAAAATTATCAGCTGCCTGAATTACTTGTTTAGGATGAAGTTCTATTTAGCTGAAGGCAAAAGACTGGTTTAATATTTTCCAGAATTCCAAGTATTTGTGTAACATCATTCGCTGTCATATCCTTATATATGAAACTATTTAAATTTCAAGATAAAATTTCATTATGACACACACTTCTCCCAAGAAAAACTCTTGGGGACAATTTTGGGGGTTTCCAGGTAAACTATTACTAGTACAAGGTATTTTTAATGAACTATTTCCCCCATTTTTTCGCTGTAAAGTTATTTATTCTAGTCTTTTGAACTGCAAAGACATAGCAGCCCCCTGCCCCAAAGTCCCATTTACACATAATGAACATTCCACAATCAAGAAGCATATTGGGCCTTCCCCATTGGTCCAGTGGTTGAGACTTCACCTTGCAATGCAGGGGGTACAAGTTCCATCCTTAGTCAGGGACCAAAACACAAAGCAGAAGCAATGTCGTGGTAGATTCTATAAAGACTTTAAAAAAAATAGTCCATATTAAAAACAAAAACAAACGCAAACATGCTAAAAGTAGGGGGTCTTCCAAATAAATACTCCAGTATTCTTAGAGTTGTTAATTTCTAAATGAAACTAGAGATACTTGTGGCTACTTTAGAAACTGATGTATAGAATACACTTGAAGTCTATTTTTGATAGATGTGATATTGGGGAATTCCATAGAGTAAAAATATAGGGTGTTTTCACTTTACTGTAAAATATGAGCTTTTGATATCAAAGAGGAAGATATGCATCCAACTGCACTAACCTCTTTATAGAGAATTTAAAAAATCAATCACTCCAACAAACAAAAGCTACAATGACTTAGTAATATTCTTCATGAACGGTAACTGTAAATAAAGGCTGAAGTATTCAAAGAAAAGGAACTCAGAATCTTTCATGCATTAAATATTCTAGGCAAGGCAATGAAGAAGCAATGTTAGTTTGAGATGGTTCAAAATATACCTTACCAAGTCAAATTATGATGTCATCGTTTTAGTCACCTAATTTAGGAATGTTTGATTCTAACAGAAAGCTGGAAACTAACTGGAATTGTCTCTAGCCATGTACAGACTTTTACTTAGCTTATAGATTTTTCTGCTATTATTTATTCATCTTGACATAAGAGTAGGCTCACTGTAATTATATCACAGTTCATGCGCTTACTTCTCACAACTCCAAGAAACTCTGATTTAGTTTTTGAGTTTAGTTTAACACACTTGCTCTCTAATAATTTAGTTCTGTAAAGTTAGTAAAAAAAATTTGTGAGACATTATATACATATACATTAAAAATACACAAAGAACATATTTCCAAATGAGGAAGATGACTTTTAGGGGACACTGATCACCCCACTACAATCCGTTAATATCCACACAGAACTGTGTATTCTTTTGTACTGCTATGCATTTTTAGCATGTATATTTATTACTTTTCCATATAAAATTAAAGGGGGTTACCTTAAAGGGCAAGTATTTTTTTCCATCGTTTCTCCCTTTGATGCTGACTGACCACTCAGACTCCCTCTCCTGTCTTTTCCCATTCTTTCTCTAACTGCAGACCACAAGATCTTTCAAAATAATCCCTTCTGATCTTTCGAAGAGGATCAAACACAAGCTCCCTAGTGAGATGGAGGAGGCTTTTTCAAGATCTGGTCTCTCTGTCCAGCACCCTTATTGGAGGAAATAGTGGAGCTGCCACTACATATTACTGGAGGTTCGTCTTTCAATAAAACCCCGTTACGAACCCGTTCTGCCCTAAGAACTACCATTCTCTTCGTCCATGCTTCGGCCCAGCGTTCTTTGCCCCTTGTATCTTTAGCGGCTGCCCCACTATTCCCTCCCCACCCATGAAACATTTTTAAGTCTGTTAATATTTTCCCCTTGTTCCTTGTAAATCAAATCTCCTATCGAAAGAATGTCGTCCGCCGCTGTGCTGCGCTGGCTCACCTGTCAGGTTCAACCACTTCCCATTTGTCGCCCTCACGGAGCAATGGACGTTAAGTGCCGGCCCTGGCGCCACAAGCCCGACCCCCAAGGCCCGCGGGGCTCAGGGCTCCGGGCTCGGTGGGCTGGTGGTGACGAAACTGTCACCGGGGTAGGCCAGCCGCACATCACCCACGCGGCCCCCATCCCTAGCTCTCCAGTCAAAGGAAACCCCGACAGCGAAGGGCGAAGCTCCGAAGCCCAGGGCGATATCGGCGCCCAAACAGGATAGGGCCCTGTCACGCTTTCTCCTCACGGAGGACAAGCCCCGCCGCTGGGCCAGGGCTTTCTCGCCCTCACGCCCGGAGACGCGACGACGAGGCGCAGTCAGAGACTTGAAAAGCGCCCGCGGGGCTGCTCCGGGGAGGGGCGCCAGCGAGCGGGGGCGGAGCACGCGCAGTAGCTTCTTGCGTGGGCGAGCCTCTCGTCTCCTGCCGCTCCACCCCCGCGCGGGCGCATGCGCAGGCTCGGCGTCGCGGGACTCCGGCCGGCGCGGGCCACACCCGCCCCGCCCTCGCCGCGGGTCAGAGGTCAGGGGGCGGGCGGCGGTGACGCGCGCGGAAGCGTCCTGGGCACTGTCGCTAGCCGGCGGGCAAGCGGCGCGTCTGTGGAGGCGGCCGCGGCCCGGGCGCCCCGACGGGAGGGGCTCCGGATCGCTGGGAGGCGGCCGAAGCCCTGCGGCGCCGCCGGCTACGGCGGCCCCATGAGTCGGGGGACGATGCCTCAGCCCGGAGCGTGGCCGGGCGCTAGCTGTGCCGAGAAGCAGGCATGGGAGGCGGGGGCCGCGGCGCCGGAGGGCGGGAAGTCTGCGGCCGGTGGGCCACCGCGCGTCGCGGTGCGGTGCCCGTCCGAGCAGTGAGTGCGGGGCGCGGAGCCAGGGGCGGGGAGAGGGCACCGGGCTCGGCCCCCTGAGGGGACGCTGCGGGGAGTATTGGGGGGATGGGGTGGGCGGGCGAGTAGCCGGCGGAGGGCCCTTCGCATCTAAGTACCATCGTCGGAAATAGAGGAATTCGTAAGATCCTTGTATCCAGTGTCCCAATTACAAAAGTTTTTCCGGAAGTCGCATCTTAAAAGTTCTGGTTATCCAGTGTCCCCCCCCCCCCCACCCCCCCTTCTTTTTTGATATCTCCATAGCTCTACAGCTAAGCAAACTCCAGAAATCTGGGAAACAAACTCTGGCAGCATATACTCTTATATACCTTATTCCCATCAGATCTTTCCTCCGACCTGTGGCCGGAAGGCAAATAAGGTTGTCCCTTGTCCCCCACCACAGGAACACCACACCACGCGACGTGTTTGTTCTTGGAAGGCAAGTCTCTGCTTGATGAACGTCCCACCTGTTAGACTTTGGACGGAGTTTGACCCAGTTGTTTTGGCCGCCAGCTGCTTATCTAGCTGTCCCCAGTCTCCACTTTATTTTTAAATACGGAAGGCAGTGATGGTTAAAGTGTCTGTCGCTCAGTCGGGTCCGACTCTTTGCGACCCCCTGGACTGTAGCCCACCCGGCTTCTCTGTCCATGGGGATTCTCCAGGCAAGAATACTGGAGTAGGTTGCCAGTCCTTTCTCCAGGAGATCTTCCTAACCCAGGGATTGAACCCAGATCTCCTGCACTGCAGGCAGATTACCGTCTGAGCCATCAGGGAAGCCGATCAATTCTTTATTGAACTGTAGGGAAGGTGGTGTAAATCGGGAGAGTCTTGGCGCAGGGGTGGAAGCAAAATATAAACTTGAAGGCTGAAACTTTTCTGCACTTGCAAATGCTAGTCACATACAAATACCTTTGGAATTCCACAGTTCCACTCAGAAAACCAGGTTGACAGATTAGTGGGAAAGTGCCCTGCGCTTCCCACTCTCTCCCCACCCCATTTCCTAAAAAAAGGGGTTCTGGGTGGGGAACTGTTACTACAAATAATGTATTATAATCATCCGGCTTTCATAGTCCTTTATTGTGGACTGTGACAGTCTCATTGAGCACCAAACCCCTTGGGAGAGTGTTAGCTGCATTTAATGGCCACTGGGAAAGATTGAGAGCAGGAGGTTTCAAACTCCTGACTCCAGGAGCCAGCCAGGTCTCCTGGGTGAAGCTGGCCAGGTGTAGACCATGGGCTCCTGGAGAGCTGAGTCTGATGGAGGTAGAATCCACTAAGTTCCAACCTGTGTTTGTTAGCCACTCAGTCATCGCTTTGTGATGCCAAGGACTGCAGCCCACCAGGCTTCTCTGTCCATGGGATTCTCCAGGCAAGAATACTGGGGTGGGCTGCCATTTCCTTCTCCAGGGAATATTCCCAACCCAGGAATCGAATCTGGGTCTCCTCCATTGCAGTCAGATTCTTTACCATCTGAGCCATCAGGGAAGCCTAGCCAATAGTTGCTGAGAGATTCTGACTTTTGTTTGAAATGTTCTTTTTTAAAAAATTTTACTTTATTTTAAAGATTATTTATTTATTGATTTTATTTTGGCTGGACTGAACAGCATGGCATGTGGGATCTTAGTTCCCTGTCCAGGGATGGAACCTGTGTTCCCTGCAGTGGCTGCTTGGAATCTTAACCACTGGACTGCCAGGGAAGTCCCCTACTTTATTTTTTCAAAACTGCATCCATGTGCTTTATTTTTATTTTCTATTTTTATTTATTTACTGATTCACTTTTGGCCATGCCACAACGCTGGCCGGATCTTAGTTCCTTGACTGGGGATCGAATCCTGGGCCCTGGCAGTGAGAGCACCCAGTCATAACTGCTGGACTGCCAGGGAATTCCCTTGATTTTTAAATAGTAGCCTTTTATTTTATGTTTAAATTGAAACCACTGTGCAGGCCCATGTGTGAGCAGCTGTGACCTGTGGTTGCAGTTTTGCTCTGTACATTTGAGCCGTACTTCAGACTCGGCACCTGATACAGCGGGCATGGTCTTTTGCTTTTGCCCCTTCACAGCTCATGCTGGTTCCTACCTGCTGCTGCCAGGCTAAGTGCTGCTCCCTCACTTATGCCCAGGTGGTCTGAGCTGAGCCCGTAACCTACTGGCCCTGGCCCTCAAATGCTGCTTCTCGGCCTCAACCATTTCATGGCCCCTCCTGGGAGACGCAGCAACTTTGAACCAGGGTCCCCAAAATACACAGTTATTTGGCAAGTTTTTCTGCTGGATGTGGTTCCCAGAGTCTGAGCATCTGGGGAAGTGGGTCATGGTGCAAAAGGAACATTCTTTCCTGATGCGCAGGTTCTGTGGCACAGGTGTCTCTTCTGTCTGCTGTCAGTAGAGCTCTAGGCGTGGAGCTGAAAGGCATCTGAAAACCCTAGTTCAGGTTTGTCACCTGATATGTTAGGAAGCTGAGCTGCAGATCTGATCTGTGCAGCTTGGCCAGGGAAGTGCAGGGAGTAGGTAGGTTCCAGGGCTATAGCCCCTGATGCCTGGGTGGGGACCTCCCCCTCTGCCCCCACATCTTTCTGGCTTCCTCAGCAAAACTGGGCAGAGAGGCATGACTTATAATGACTGCAAACTTCACTTTTCTTTTTTTTTTTTCTGGAATAGATGTTCCAGTTTGCCTTTTAAGTAGTAGCTTAGTTTCTTTTTCTTGCTATTTTTGTTGTCTTTGATGACTTCATTCTCTCTTAATTGGTAAGAGAACAAAGGGAAGCAAGGGAGAGGAGGTGAAAAGAATTTCAAATGGCAGCTTCTGAACATCCCATCTCACTGTTTGGGCTTTCCTGTTTGTTATACGGGCAGTGGGGCTGCTTATCCTGTGTTGTGATCCTCTGTTAAGGGCCAGAGAAACTGTGGCATCACATTGTCCATTGTATAGTTTACAGTGTAACGCATGCTATTCTTCCATGATACATGCAGCCTAATAGTTGAGTGCAGATGTAGATACACAGTGGGATGCCTGAACTAAGTCCTAAAATGGTTTTTTAACCTTGTGTTTTTCTGTCACTGGAGCCAAGTCCCTTCTTCCCACCCTGAGAGTTCAGTTTGATCTGCACCAGAATTGAGTAAAGCGCTTGAACCTGCCAATACGAAACACCATAAGATGCAGATGTTTGGGGACATCCTGCAGAGTCTTTTTAATTCATTCAGGGGATAGAAATTACGAATACAAATCACAACCCAGCATTTGCAGCCTTTATGCATTCAGAATATGACTTTGAGGGGATTAGTGATGTGTCTGCAGAGGGATGGCTCATTTCCTAGGCTGTTCATGGGACAGATTCCTTGTGACTGGGCTCACTGTGGTTTCCCCCAGAGAAGTCGTGGGGAAGGCAGACACAGAGATCTTGTGGATAAGCTGCATTCTGAATCGCCTGCCTTCCTTTCTTTCCTTCATTTGAGAACTGTGGTTGGCTGGCATCCCTTGGACAAGCCCCAAGGATGGCTCACACAACGACGTAGGGTCCCTTTTGAGGAAGTGTTAGGTCAGACCTGATTCACTTGACTTCTTTGGAAACCTCCTCACTCCTCCTGTCAGCAGGTCTCCTATCCTCCGTCTCCTGCTCACCTGACCCATAAAATTGAAACTTAGAGTGGGTCCACTTCTTCCTTTCAGCTAAGCTAATACTCCGGCCCCTGAGGACCAGGGTGGCCCTGGACATGGTTTGTGGCCAGGCTAGACGTGCTTTGGGAATTGACAAGTGAGCCTACTCCATGGTCCTTCTCTATCTGCCTGAGGAGGGGACAGGGTTTAAATCTGGGGTCCACAGGCTTGCGGTGTGTAGAGGGCAGCATGATGTGTCTGTGTACCCTTCTGAAATCGAAAGCAAAATTGTATGCATATTTATGTCTTTCTGGACGGAGGTTCAAAGGAAAGCTGTGGATTCTCAGAAGGGCTGTAACTAGCAACTTGTGAAGCTCTTGCTCTTGGGTGTTGCTAAGTGTACTGTCGAGCAAATGTGTTTTCCCACTCACCTCGCACATTAGCAGCTCCGGGGGCGCTGTCTCTGATGAGGTAACAGCTACTCCCTCCTGGTCCTTCCCCCACCTGGGTGGTAGAACCTGCTTCAGAGCTGGGGTGCCCCTGAGAAAGCTTAGGTTGCAGGGGTCCAGGTTGTCCCCAGACCCCTCTGGGAGTCACCGAGCCAGTCATGGAAAGTCCACTTGCAGAAAGGAGGTGGAATTTTGGCCTGGGCGCCGGTACTTTCCTGCATTTGATGTGTGGCTCACTCATCTTAGACAACCGCTGAGAGGTGGAGAAAAGCTGGGTAGAGTGATCTTTGCTTTTTCCTGTGCCTGTGTGGGACGGTGCCCAGTGTCACGGCGGTTGACACTGTCTCACCGACACTGTCTCACCCACACTGCCCGGGCTGTCAGTCTTCTAGGACAGGCCAAATTAAGCATGATCTGCAAGTCCAGAGAGCTGAACAGAGTCACACTCAGGTTCGTTTTTTTAGATAGCTAAGGGGAACTTGGTGCAAATGTCCACAACAGTGAATGAGTGAGCTGCTGTCTTGTTAGCTTTGCATATATGTTAAAGAGTTGATGTTTTTCATTTTATGTGTTTACTTGCATCAGAAATCAAAAAATTGGTTTCACAGAAATGTCTTCTGCTTTGCTGAGCTCTGTGTTTTTAGTTTATATTATAACTTTTGTTTTGGGGAGTAGTATAATTTTGTCTAAATGTAGTTAGCATTTCAAAATTAAGTTTCAAACATTTATTGTTATCCAGGTCTTTGAACAGAGCAAGAGGAAGGTTATAATTTAACAGAGTGTCATGTAACCTGCTCAGTGGTGTATATTGCCTTAACATTAAGTATTGGTCCTTTATTGGACCGGAACCTGGTGGTCCGGAGTCAACGATGAGAGAGTGAAAGAAGGAAAGAGGCTAATATTCCCTGGGTTACGCAGCCAGCTTTCGCGCTCCAGGGAGTCAGCCAGAAGTAGAAAGACAGACAGACAGACACAGGGACCCAAGCTCTGATGGAGCAAAGGTGTTTTAATCAACATGGTGTGGGCATAAATACTGTCTTACAAGGTAGTTATTCTCAGCAAAGATAAAGATTAAAATTCCAGACTTAAAAAACATAAGGCGATCCTTATCAAAGAGAGAGAGTTGTAGACAATCACTTTTACTGTATGGTTCACAAAAAGGAAGAGGGTACTTGTCACTGTATAGAAAAGCTAACGAAGGAAATCCTATGCAAGCATCCCATCTCTTTGATCTCTGTCCTGGGAGTAGCTTGCCTGCTCCTCTCGCCCCTGACAGGGACTGATAAAGGAACAGAGGGCTCAAGAGAGATAGGAAACAGCTTCCTGACGAGAGTAAAGTATTTCACCTCTAAGAGAAAATGGGAGCTTGAAAATAAACATTTTAAAATAACATTATGCTGCTAAACTAGTAATTTTTAAGCAGGAATTATTAGCATTTTGGTTTTAAAATTTTAACTGAGTACAGCTCACATGCCATGGCCCCCAAGAAATCAGGTCACATTTAAGACTTTTACTTTTCTTCACTACTTTTCTAGCGATCTGTATGTTTTCTGGAAAGAAATTTTTTGCTCTAGTGATCATTTTGAGTCTATGGATTTCAGTGTACTCTTTGTGCCAAATGGTGAACACCTCTCATCCCAGCCCCAGCTTGACTCACACCCAAGATTGCCACATTTCTGAAACTGGTCAGCATGGAGGATCTGATCTTATCAAATAGCCCATTTCCTTTCATTGTTTCCCTGTCTTCCTTTCCCCCCCCAAATTTAAACCTCCAGCTATTTCAGATTCCCAATTTTAAATATAATTTCTTTTTGCTGTTAAAAGTATCAGTTCCTTTTTGATATTTTAAAAAAGTTAAAGGTTTATTGAGTGAAATATTTTCTTAAATAAAATTATTTTAATTTTTCTTGCTTTCACACATCTCTCTTTCTAGTTGGCGGGTCTTGTGTTGGATGAATATTTCATTGTGGCTGTTAAATGTCTCATTTTCTGACTGTATTGATTGAACTTTTTTGTTTGAACTTACAACTTCTCCCCAAGGAAATACAGTGGCCTTTAAAAGCCATATTACAGTTTCCCTGGTGGCCTTGGCAAGTTAGCAGATGTCCTTGGTGGCTGTGGAAGCTCACAATCATCTGTGGACAGAATCTGAATGAAATAGTGTGGCTAAAGTGATTTGAATACACTCTGGGCCTCCCATTCATCAATTTCTGCTATGCTTCTTCTGTATGTCTTGAATCACCGCATTTCTATTTCCAGTAACCTCCCTTTCTGTTCTGTCTTCCCATTGCACTTAGTTCTCCTATTGGCTTCTCTTCGTTCCTTTGCCGTTGGTCCTTGAGAGAGTTTGTATTTGCGGCTGTTCAGAGATGCTAGTTTAGAGAACCTCCTCTGGGCCCCTTTGGTTATTCTGTAGATAAGAAAGGTAGGAGACAAGAGTAGAAGCAGAGACGCCTGCCCATAGCCACAGAATTCGTGTGAAGTGAGAATAGCTTCATAGTCCGTTAGAACCAAGAACTGGAAGAGGAACTGCATAGATCATTTAGATCTTGTCCGGTCATCTTGTTTTGAAGATGAGAAAACTGAGGCCAACATTAGGGAAGTGGCTTCCACAAAGACATGCTTTTGGTAATGGTATTATGAAAACGATTCACTTAAATGCCTGTTTTATACTATCAGAATTTCTCTCCTATTTGATAAAGCTAGGAAGGAGGCTGAAAGATAACATTAAACTATTGAAAGAAGATCTAACACATTTAGTCACTTTTTATTTTAAGTGCTTGATGTATAGTCCCTGCGAATCTGGTTTCTGTTTGCTTTGCACCCTGGCACGGGCTGCATGGGTGACATCACACCTTTTACTTGAAATCTCACTGGGGTTAGAGCACATGGAACGTACCTTTTCCCTAATATGTCCCCCTCAATCCCGCCACAACAAAAAAAGACAGGCGTGCACACACCATCACTTTCGTGAAGAGAGAAGAAAAGGAAAACAGGGATAAGAAATGATCATTGGGTGAATCGTCCATCCCTCCTCTGCCCAGATGGATAGATACGAGAATTAATGAGGCTAGCTAACTTTTTTGACTGTCGAGTTCCTGTGTGTCTTATTTTCAGAGCAGTCTCTTGTGAGTACTCCCACGGTTATTTTTACAGGTGGATAAATTTAGGTCCTGAGAAATGTGGTCCCTTGAGTTCCACGGGTGATGCACGTGGTTGACGAGGGCTGGAGTGAGAAGTGGTCACACCCTGGCAATCTAACTGCAGCCTGTGGCATGCTCCAGTGAGGCCACCCACACCGCCTGTGCCCTCTTGGGTGGACAGCGAGCCATTCATGTGGGGGCGTCAGCAGAGCCAGTCACAGGTGTAAAAGCACAGGCTGGGCTGGTCAAGTGTTTGGACTGAAGCGTCTGTGTGTGTATATGTGTAGGGCTAGCGTGTTGGGGTGCGTCCAGATTTAGACTTCCCCGCTTATTTGGGAGCCATTGAAGGGTTTCAGGGGTGGAGGGTGTGTTGGTCCCCACCTCAGTCTGTTTCTCTCAGCGGCACCCCCTTCCTCTTTCCTCCGGCTTCTGAGCCGTGTAGGAGGTGCTGGGGAGCTCCCGGAGTCGGGCACGCGGGAGCTATCCCCTTAGTTCCTGAGTAACTCCTCTTGCCTGTGTGCCCTGGTGCCTGGAGCCTCCTGTCCTGCGTGAGGAGCGGGGGTGTGCTCTTGTGGGAGGACTGGGGACGGGGGCTCTGCTGCTGGCAGCCCTGGAGGTCGCCCATGCCCCCCAGAGCACTCGGTGTACCTCCAGCTCCTGACCTTTCTGGGCCCTGCAGGGCGTGCTGGTCTGCCCTTCCAGCAGACACTGGTCCAGGGGCCTCGAGGCTTCTCCCGTCTTCCGTGCCTTACCGCCCCTTCCACTTTTGGACGGTTTGCGCTTTCACCTGTCTTGTGTTCCAGCAAAGACAGAGTGGCATCTCTGTTGTCCACCGTTGTGGTACATCTTGAGGGGAACAGGAGTCATCTTAGAACCCGGAAGTGCCGTTTGCCCTCCTTGTCTAGCAGCCAATGGGGTTTTCTCCTTTCCAGGACTTAGTAGGTTCTTGTTGGCTCACTGAAGGAGCCCGGAGACTCTTTGGGGAGCTGTTTGTGTAAGTCCCAGCGAAAGTGTGGGGGATGGTGGGCATGTGCCCAGCAGAAGGTCGGGGGCCTGCTTTCCTGTGGGCATCAGGGAACAGGAGCGCCTCGGGGAGCTGGTGTGGTTCTGGGGATCTTGTGACTCTCCTGTTCTTCTTTTTCGAGGAGCTCTTGGAAAATTTGCCTGTGATGTCCCAAAGTTGGCGGTTGGTCTGCGCTCCTAAATGCTTTTATTAGCACCATCTCCATGCTTGAAACCTGAAGAGTCATGAACAGCTTTGCTGATGAGCATAGATGAGCATGCTAAGATGCTTACGTATGTGGTTGAGGCATTAAAAACATCGCAGTTGAAATGGCCCCAGAGCTGCGTAGCCAGTGGAGTGGTGTAAAATGTCTCACTTCAAAAACTCTGAATTAGTAATGCTAGAAACACAAGAAAAAAGACCCATATTTTATCAGACTGTCATCATGTAATGTAAAAACGTTAAACTTTGTGTGCCTTATAAATTTGTAAAGCAGCTGCATGTTGTGATAAGAAGGACATGTCAGTCCACAAATTTTTGAAATGTCTGATTTGGTGTGATTTCAGCGAGGAGGACATGTATCGTGCGGCGGATGAAATAGAAAAGGAGAAAGAATTACTTATACATGAAAGAGGGTCATCAGGTATGTTTGGAATTGTTTTCTTTATAAAAAGTTCTTGCTGCTTATAGTAGAAAATGCAGTTAAATCAGTATATCCATTTTCATAAAATATTTGAGGTACACTTTCCTAGGAAGGTGGACTTCCTAGGAAGCATTCTTAGGCATTTGGTCTTACCTCCATTGGGTTATTCATTTTGCTGGGTAAAAATATTTTGGGTATATTTGGGGACTACTGTTTCCTGAGGCTCTAAAGTTTCAGTACAAGTACTTTGCTTGCGTTCCTTACATTCATAGCGTTTTTGTACCCATGAGAATTTGTCTAACCTCTTGACACCACTCTCTCTTAAGTTCTTGACTTCCTTATTTTCATAGAGGGAGAGTTGGGGTTTGAAGCGCCAGGTTTCAAGTGGAAGTATTTACTGAGAAGCTGACCCTCTGGGTCTTTGTGTGCAGAAGGCCATGTGAATCTGATTTGACTTATAAGAAAGAACGGTGGTGGACTTGATAGCTCTTAATTCTCCCGTCATGTCATGACTTCTGTCCACACTTGTGTTCAACAGTGTGTGTGCTCTGTTCATCCCTCAGTATCCATCAACCCCTGGCTGCTAGGGCGAGCCCATGCTTCGACCATGGCCATCGGGGCCGGGTGTGGGGAAGCACCTCCTTCCTCCCCAACTTGCCCCGGGCAGGAGGCCAGGGAGGGGGTGCTCCATTAGGGGATACCCCACAGACCATTCAGACTGAGGGCAGGAGGAGAAGGGGCCCACAGAGAATGAGATGGTTGAATGGCATCATGGTTGAACTCCATCACAGTGGAATCAATAACATGAGTTTGAGCAAACTCCGGGAGATGGTGAAGGACAGGAGGCCTAGCGTGCTGCAGTCCACGAGGTCACAAAGAGTTGGACACGACTGAGCCACCGAATGATTCACAAGTGGCGTTTTCCTGCGCACCACTTGTGTAATGTTCTGGTTTAAGAACTGGCTCTCATTTATGGTGTGGGTGACAAAGTGTTAAGATGTGTCATTAGGAACAGAAGACTCTGAAGATAGTTCTCGAGTCTTCCTCACAGGGAGTTGGCAGAACTCCTCCCTGTGGTAACTGGGGAAGATGATGTGCTCTGTTGTGGTCCAGCCCTGCGGGTTCCCAGCCCCCGCAGCCTTCAGAGGCGTCTCAGGGCCCCAACGGCAGTTGCACACACTTCACTTCAGCAGCAGGACTCAGCAGTCCTGTCCTGAGGAGAAAGTGCTTCCTCAGCCCTTGTCTGTTCCTGCCCCGTCTGCAGGGGCCTCTGGCCTCCTCGCTTGCTCTGCAGGCTCTCTGTTGGGGTTCCCTTCTGTCCCCAGGGTAGCCCCATACAGGTGCCCTTGCTTTTCAGGGGGTCTTGTCGCTTCCAGCTCTGGTCTGAGTCAACATAGGTCCCTTCACACCCTGCATCTCAGTCCTTCTGGCTTCGTTGCCCTTCCTGACGTAACATCCTGTGGATGGGCCTCTGGTGAGCAGCTCCGTTTGTGCGAAAATGTCTTGATTTCACTTTATTGCTTGAATAACCCCAGGCGAATAATACATTTTCTCCGATTTTCCTTGAAAATTTCATTCCTCTCTCTTGTCATTTCTTTTGTAGTTGGAAACATTGCAGTCAGTCCGACTCTTGGCAGTCTGTCTTTTCCTGTCTTCTCTCTGTCTTTGGTGTCCTACAGTTTCTCCTCAGGGTCTCTTAAGTATGGACTTTTTTTTTAATGTTTTGTTAGGGATTGTTTTTACCTTTTAAATCTGAATGTGCCTAGTTTTCATCAGTTCAGGAGAATTCTCAGCCATTATCTCTCTAAATACTGCCTTTTTCCTATTCTGTTTACTGCTTCCAGAGCTCCAGATCAGGTGTTTGCTAGCTCCCATTCAGTTATCCATGGCCCTCAGTTACACACCCTTTCAAGTATTTTCTGACTTTTAGCCTCTGTTGCATTCTGGATAGTTCCCTTAGAAAGGTTTCCTCTTTCTCTTTTGGAAAAGATCTATTTTCTTTTCAGATTTGCTTGGTCTTTTTTTGATAGTGTGTTGCTCTTTGCTCAAGTTTTCATTCCTTCTTTTATTCCTCTAAACAGTTTAAACATGCTCTTCTGGACCTGATAATTCCATTAGCTGAAAATCCTGACAGGTCTGCTTACGCCAGCTGCTGTTTTTGCCTGCTTCTTGTTTCTTCAGAGTTTGGTTCTAAGCTCGGCTCTTGTGTGTCCGTGGAGAGATTGTGTAGCCTGTCTCGAGTGTGGGGGAATTCGGCCTTGTTTCTGCCGTGCACCCGGGAGTCACCTGCCTTGGGCCACCTCAGGTGAATTTCTGGTTTTGAGTTCCCAGGGTCTGCAGCTAGTGTGATGGCACAGCCTGTCCCTGTGTGAGAGCCGGCCTGTGGTTATGAGATCTTAGGTCCTCTCTGCCCAAGTCAGAGCCCAGGTCAAGGCAGAGAGTTTTCTCATGCTCTCTGTTAGTCACCTAGTCCGTGCGCGCAAAGTCACCTGAGTCATGTCCTGTTCTTTGCCACCTCGTGGACTGTAGCCCACCAGACTCCTCTGTCCACGGGATTCTCTAGGCCAGGAACGAACGGGTTGCTGTTTCCTTCTCCAGGGGATCTTCCCGACCCAGGGATCGAACCTACATCTCTTAACATCTCCTGCATTGGCAGTCGGGTTCTTTACCACTCACGCCACTTGGGAAGCTGACCCCACTTAGTCCAGGGGTCAGCAAACACTAGCTCCCTGGCCAAAGTTGACATGCCACCTGGTTTTATAAATAAAGTTTTATTGGAACTCCTTAGTTCACACATCTGTGCATGGTGATTTTCATGCATAGTAAGTTGAGTAGTTGTGCAGAAACCTGATAGCCTTAAAAAGCCCATGTTATTTACACTCTGGCCCATTAGAGAAAAAGTTTTCAATTCTTGCCCTAGCCTCTTGATTGAGAGTCCCAGCGTTCTGGAGGGGTTCACCTTTAACTTCCCATCCTCCAAGGGTCTGAATCCTTGTCTTGGTCACCATATGGTGGTTAAGGAACAAAACCTCTTGGTTATTTCAGCTTCTGGTGACCACTCTTGATTTTCAGCTTCCCCTTTGTGTTTTTTGAATGTGTTTTTGGTGGAGTTTGTTTGGCCATTAGAAATGTGCATTCCTGGGGCAGTAAGCAGCCTGTGTGGGATGCGGATAAACAGCAGGAGCTGACATAGACTGTGAGCTGCTTGAGGTCGGGCTCATCCTGCGTCTCTAGCTCCCCGCCTGCAGTGGCTGTCGGAGTCCTCCCAGCGCCCAGCAGGATGGGACTGGGGATGAACTTCTGATGCTAGCAGCTGTGCAAGTACCCGTTTTCCCACCCTCCCTGCCTCACGCAGTCCTCTGATTCATCAGAGGACTGCGGCCTGTGGCCTGGCCTCTGAGCCCAGTCAGCCTCCTGCCTCCTCCCCTCAGTTCTGAGGTGGGGCCCATGCCGCCCTGCGGAGGGCCCGGGTCTCCTGCCCACAGGAAAGAGGACCGCGGGTGAGGAGAGCGCCAGGTCTGGACTTGTTCTTCGGGGGGGCCCTTCCCGAGCTGGAAGCTGCTCTGCTCGTGGCAGAATGTGTCCCAGTGAGTGTCCTCGACTCTGGTCACGTGTAGCTCCTTGGGCTTTCTGAGGAGGTGAGCTGAAAGGCGATTAAAGGGAACTCTTCCTTCCACTAAATAGACACTCACAAAGTGTTTTTGACTTTAAACAGTGACTGCTGTTTATTTGAGGGTTGGCTGCGCAGCTGTGGTATTTGTGGTCTCTGTGGATTAGGCTCCAGGACTGGTTCACCTTTAAGCCAGTCCTGACTTAAGCACAGATAAAAGTATCTGTTACCTATGTGTGTGTTATTTTACCTTTTGTATAGAAGGTTTATTTTCCTTATGAAAGGATTTATCAATGTAATTTTAAAAATAGGCAATTCTGACATTTTATGTCTTAAAAAGTTGTTATACTTATTATAGTGCAGGAAGGGCTTCGGGGCTCCTCTTGTGCTCCTCCTTCCATCATCCCACATCCGTCACATCTTGCATGGTCAGGGCCTGCAGTCCTTTCTTCTTCAGTAGTCTCTAAACCCGTTCAGGACTGACTCTGGGCCTTTATCATCTTCCTGTCCCCCTGCTCCTAGCTCAGTGCTTGGCACATATTAGACACACAGTGTTTGTTGGATTGAGTTGACTATACCATCTTTATTTTATGTACAACTTCCTCTTGAGTAAATATGCCATGAGGTACTTCTGTGTTTATATCCTGATTTCTTTGCTAACATTTACTTCTTCAATATTTTAAGGAGGAAGTCAAGATATGCCTGGGAATTTAGCTCGCTTTCTTCCTAAAACATACAAAGACCTACACATGTGCATGCATATGCCTAGGCCACAGAATCCAACCCCAGGCCTCATGTGTTCAACAAGGGAAGTCTGAAGACGGTTTTATTTTTACTGTAACATCTGTCTGATCATCAGTCATAGCTTTCATTTGGGGAGTATGTGTTACTAGAGTCAAACAAGGCCTGTGTTTCAGCTCACATTGAGAGCTGCGTTCAGTTTCTGGCTGATTATCAACAGTTTATAGCCCTTTGGGATCAAAGCAGGATGTAATGAAATAAAGATTATTAAGTATACATCTGTAATAGAGGTGTTATCTCTTTGTATAATGGACGTGAAAAAATTACAAATTATTAGCTATATGGTCTCGGTCTCATAGCTTAGACTACTGCATGTTTGAATGAACATTATTCAAGGATACCTAGGTCAGTGTGGTTGCGGGTGCTGAGGGCACCGCTGAGAAGCAGACCAAGCCCCTGCCCTCAGGGAGCTCATGTTTTGCTGTGTATGGATGTGTAGGCATGGGAGAGGCAGCGTACGGAAAAAGAAATAGGTTGGGTGTTGATCAGAGCCAAGAAGAAAAGCAGAACCATGTAAGGGGAACAGAGTGAAAGTGTGTGTGTGTGTGTGTGTGTAGGGATGAGAGAGGCAGGGTACAGAGAAAGAAATATGTCAGGTGTCGATCACTGCAGAGAAGAAAAGCAGAACCATGTAAGGGGTACAGAATGAAAGTGTGTGAGTGTGTGTGTGTGTGATGTTCTGACATTGGATGTGAGTGTCAGAGGTAGCAAAGACCTGCAGAGACTGAGGAGCAGGTACCTCGCAGGGAGGGCAGGAGCTGTCGGTGTGTATAGTGGGGGAAGCTGAGACCCGAGAGGCAGTGGGGGGCCAGGGCAGGGGCCCTCTTGTAGGGAGGAAGGGAGTGGACTCCCAGGTGTGATGGGGGGCCCTGGAGCCCAGCTGTGATAGGTAGCATCTCACTTAGGTTTTTGAATGCACCACTCTGGCTGCCATGTGGGGGATGGCCGGTAGGGTCTGGTGACAGGGAGACTCAGGGGGAGACCTCTGTGGTCATCTGGGAGTGAGGTGGTGGCGGTCTCAACTGGGTGGTCAGCAGTCTTGGGATTCTGGACGTGGGAGGACTGCAGTGAGCGAGAAAGGAACTCTCAGGCGAAGCTGTGCTTTTAATTCTGAACATGCTTTGTCTCTTTATTCCCCCTCCCCCACCCCACCCCTTTTTTTTGGATTCTTTCACAGAACCTAGATTAAGTGTAGCTCCTGAAATGGATATCATGGACTACTGCAAAAAAGAATGGAGGGGAAATACACAAAAAGCAACATGTATGAAAAAGGTATGACGCCTGGATGCGTGCATTTTGAGTTTTTCCAGTAGTCTACCATAGGTAATTATTTAATATGTCCTTATGTATGTTTAGATGTTATAGTTATGACAACTGCCATTAGACTGTGTTACTGTTGGGGTTCTACTTTTAGAGATGAGGAAGCAGACTGCAAAGATAAGGGCCGTCTCGGTATTAATATAGAATCATTGTCAGTCAGTAGCTTGATTTCTTTGAAAAACGTATAAATGACAGTGTGCTGTTCCGAGCTGGGCCACGGGTTGGCCCCTTGGGGGCATTTGGCTGTAATGCCCTTCTGACCTGGTGAGGGCACAGCCTCGGGTGACCTACATCTGCTGTCCCCACCCTAACCCTAACCCCACCCTGGGTTTATTTTCACATCTTCCAGTCCTCGGGGCCTGGACTCTCCCGCACACCCTTAGCAGTGGGACCTGGATCTCCTGCCTTTATTTAGGGCACCCAGGAACTGCCCCCTCTCAGTCCCGTTGCATAACCTGGTGACCCAAAGGTAGTCCTTCCAAGGCTCTGGGATGTCAGGGATTCCCATGACGTAGTCCTGCTGGGGCTGTGACTGGGCTGGGTTGCTGCTCCCACTGCATGGTAGTCAGTCAGAACCCCTCTCGGTTCCCCCTCAGATGGATCCTGAATCCAACATTCCTCCATAGGTGGAGATTGCTCCTACAGTTGACCCTTGTACATCACAGGTTTGAACTGCTGGGGCCCGCTTCTCTGGATTTTTTTGCTGAATATGGACTACAGTGTACTGCACGATCCCATGAGTGACTTATGCATTTGGAAGGGTGCAGTTGCTATTGAACTAGTATTTGGGACAGCTCGGGGTTCACCGTAGGAAAGAGGTACATTTAGTAGGCATGAGTCTCCCCGATGGGCCTTCTGTTGCAGTGGTTGGGCCACTGAACAGAAATGCAGCTTTCAGAATCTTATTATTGGAAAGAAATACTTTCATATCCAGTTCGAACATCATCTTTGTGACTTGAACCTTGAAAACAACTTATGACAGGGTCCAGTGCTTGGACACAGGATGACTGTCTGCAGGGTCCCCACCCCAGGGGGCTGGCACTTCTTCCTTTGTGTATGTGTGTGTTGGGGGCGGGGGGAACAGGGTTTTAAGTGGCTGTTGAGGAAGAGCTGGGCAAGCGAAAGATCTACCTGGTCAAGGAGGAGTGAGATGGGAAAGGCTGAAAGTTGATGCCAAGGCCTGAGCAGCGTCCAGCGGACAATTCAGTCGGCCTGGAATTTCATAGTGTCCTTTTAAGGGGAGTGTGCTCAAAACAGTCCGTTTGGATGGCTGTGTTTGAGTGACTGAGCCTGTCACCGAGAATTTTCGTTTCCTTGTTTCACTTCCAGGCTGAATAATAATGACATTTCAATCCACTTTTTAAAAAACAGAATTTATCCAGGCACCTCCAAGACGATACATATAGTCTTTTATGTATTTCATGGAAATTTGGGGTACAGGGTGTTATTTTTAATATGGAGACATAAGCCAGGTAAAGAATCCACCTGTCAACGCAGGGAGACACGAAAGATGAGGGTTCGAGCCTTGGGCCGGGAAGATCCTCTAGTGTAGGAAATGGCAACCCACTCTAGTATTCTTGCCTGGAAAATCCCATGGACAGAGGAGCCTGGTGGGCTACAGTCCACTGGGTCACAAAGAGTCAGATACGGCTGGGGGATTGGGCACATAAGCTTGGTACATCTCTCTTTTCTTTCCTGTCTCCTGATTGAAGAGTTTAGGGTCAACTTAAACACAGACCAAAGCCTTCAGATTGCTGGTTATTTTAAGTGAGTGTTATGGCAGTTGCTTAGAAAGGGACGTACGACTTCAACTTTGGGGGTGACTAGCATTTTAATAATACTTAGTGTCCTATATGTTCTAGTATATTGCATCTGCTGCATATGCTGATATTTTGTATGATACTAACATTTGTTAATTTCTTTTGATGAATAAAAAAGGAATTAAAGTATCCTGCAGGAAAGATTTAGCCATTCTTCCACTGATCGGGACGGGGGGCGTGGGGGACACACTTCTTCCACATGAATAAAATTCTCCCCGCTCTCCGAAGTCAGTAATGACCATTTGAATTCTTTGATGCTTTTTGCACAGGGCTATGAGGAGGTGTCCCAGAAATTCACCTCCATCAGGCGAGTCCGCGGAGATAACTACTGTGCGCTGAGGGCCACGCTGTTCCAGGCCATGAGCCAGCCGACGGCGCTGCCCTCCTGGCTGCAGGACCCGGAGCTCACGCTGGTACGCTGCTGCCGCAGGTTTGAGTCTGCACTGTTTGCTGTCGTTTCTGCAGCAGAGACTTCCCTGGTCTGCCCCGCGCTGTGTGCCCAGGTGCTTGCCTGCAGTGCGATGTCAGCGTGCGGGTTTCTGCAGCTTTCTGTGGCTGGGGTGACTTTGCATAGTAAAGCACCGAAAATCAATTGTTATTTCCCGGAGGAGAAAGATGATAAAATTCATTTAGCGCCTCAGCTTAACTAGAGAGCAGGGGTTTAGGGCTTGCACAGAGCACTGAGGGCAGTTTGACTTCTGGGTTGGAGTCTCCACCAAGTGGGCTTTGTATTGTACTCTCTGAGAACCTGCTGGGGTTTCCAAAGGCACGTTTCTGGGCTTCTGGCTCCAGTTCAGGGAATCAGCACCATCTGGAGAGGGAGGGTCATCGGCTTGGTACGCGACAGAGCGGCAACACCGGAAGAGAGATGGTTGCTGTCAGCTGGGGAAGGCTTCCTGGGGAGGTGAGGGCTGGCCCATGTCTGGCCCTTGTTAGTTGTTTTAAATCTGCAGCCTGACAGTAATACCCCCAAGAAGTCACACTGTCCCTGTGTCGTGTATCCATGACAGACGCCAGCTGAGGTCAGATAGGTTGGGTGATAGACCATCCCTAGAGAGCTTGGTGGGCAGTCATGTTTGAGCGGAGCTCACAACATGGCGTTAGTTGGAGGAAAATTGGAAAACTTGGGCTTGTCTTAAACCCCCAAACCAAAACCCAAAGTGTCAGCTCTGGGAGATGTGCCTCCCCAGCAACTTAGGGGAAAAAAGTTGGGATTTTAGTGGATCACAGCCCACAGGTGTGTGATGGCCGCAGTGACGAGGACGCCTATTTTATAATGAAAGGGATAGGTAGGGAGTTTGGGATGGACATGTACACACTGCTGTATTTAAAATGGATAACCAGCAAGGACCTACTGTACAGCAAAGGGAACTCTGCTCAATGTTCTTTGGCAGCTTGGATGGGAGGGGATTTTGGGGGAGAATGGATACATGTATCCGTATGGCTGAGTCCCTTCACTCTTTACCTGAAACTCACAGTATTGATAATCAGTTATACTCCAGTACAAAATAAAGTTTCAAAAAACAAGGGGATTTTTCTAAATACAGGCAGTGATAGCCTGTCTTGAACTGGAGTGGTCAGATCCCATCCTAGGGACCGCGGGCAGCTCTGTGCCTGTACCATTGGGACAGAAGGGCATGTGCCCGAGGCAATCTGTCTCCTGGGAACAGTTGAAGGAACTGGGGTATTTGTTTGGGATAAAGACTTGTAGAGGGTACTGGCTGGCAGCTCAGCTAATTACAGATCTATTAGATGGTCGGGGTGTCACTTAGCCTCCGAGCACAGCCAGGACCAGTGGGTGGAGGATACCACCTGTCTGTCTGGTGATTACCCACTCTATAAAGTGGTATGAAAGCGGCACCCTGGTGTAAGCTGTCTAGATGACATCTGTAAAAGATTCTCCTAATCAGAGATGCATCGTCTTAAGCAGATTTCTCAGTATTAGCTTATTTCTTTTTTCAATAAAGCAGCAAAAAGAAATTGATACAGTAGGCTATTTATAGCTTTGCAGGTTATGCTAAGTATTAGTACTGACATATCTTGGAAATGTTGGTCAGCCTGCCTATGGACCTGAGCCTCTGCTGAGGAAGCAGACATGGGTGACCTCACTCGGTTTTGCTTTAACTTCTGTTTGCTAACCATAGTTTAAATTACAGCTTGTGACATAAAGTGCTCCTCAAGTGTAGGCTGTTTTCCTTTGAACTTTTTACTTTAAGGGGATGCTTAGATTTATGAATTGATGTAATGAATTAGAATTCTTTTGCTTTCTAAGAAACTCTGCAAGTAGTGAGTGAGAAACTCTGCAAGTAGAGCCCTGCAAGTAGTGCTCCACATAGTTAAGCATATAAAATACTCCCTGTAAAAGTAAAGCACGATGTCCCTTTTGTTTTACTGACAGGATCCATCTGGGTAGGGTCATCTGTCACATTAGAAACAATCCAGGTGGACTGTGCTTGGTTTCTGATCGGTATGAGAACATGTTGTGTGTGTGAGCTGTGGGGCTTCAAGGTGCTTTTCCTGGCTGAATTTGAGTCATGTGGAAATTCTCTAGCGTTCTAATTTCTTCCCTTTTCTGTATGTATCAGCCAATCAGTAGAGTTTTTCTCTTGGGAGCATAATCTAATTAGTCAGTCACAGTGGTATTATTTTTGTCATCTAACCTTTATTGAAGGCCAGGAGGCCTGAGTCAGACAAAAGCTCATCATACCTGCTGGGGGGTGTCGTATGAAAGTCTGTGAAACTTTTCTTGCTCTCCTTCAGCTAGAAGACTTGTCACTGTATTGACTTTTTGGCCCCCAGCATCTTCCCTTGATTTGAGCCTTTTCCCGGGAGGGTCTGTTCTGTGATGTGTCTGGAGCAGGTTGCAGGTGCACCTCATGCTTCTTGTTCGAGGTGCCAGGGCAGGAGGGGTGCGTAGACTGGTTGCTGCCCTTGCCCAGTGCAGGAGGGGCGCGTAGACTGGTTGCTGCCTTTGCCCAGCACAAGACTGGTTGCTGCTTTTGCCCAGACTAGTCTCTCACCACCCCCAGCTGTCAAATGCTCTCGCCTGTGGCCGCCATCCCATCCCTGTTATCATCCCAGCCTGTCTGCTTGGTCCTCCCTCAGGAAGTCCACACCGATAAGGGGTCTCGCTGAGTGAGCGAGAGGGTGGTGTGGCGTGACCGGAACAAGTCAAGGTGGAACCAAGTATAAATACAGATGGGTGGGGAGGCCCACAGAGACTGGCAGTGTGTGCCTGTGGAGGGGGGCACCTGGACCTCCTCCCTTGGAAGTGGGCTCTCCATCACCAGATACCACCGTGGAACTGTAGTAAGGACACATCTCAATATGTGTTAATACACATGCCTAAGACACGCAGATCTGCTGCTACTTAACTCTGTCTACCAAACAAGAAAATCTTACCGGAGTTTGGCTATGAAACTCTCTGACCGTTTCCTGTCCATCTTCCCACTGAATTAGAATAACTCATATCCTATCGTATGAATTAAACCATGCTTGCTGTTACAGCTTAGTATAAATGATTTGAGTTTAAAATGGGGTGGGCTAGCTGTTGGAAGCACAATAATCATCTGACAAGTCAGTCTCAGCTTCCCCTGATCCTTGGTCTCTGAATTGCTGAGGACCTCTTCTGACCACCACCACCTCGACCCCCCTCCTCGGCACTGCGAGTCAGACAGGTCCTGGGACACCCTAGCTGGTATGTGAATCTGTAGACCTGGAGCCAACCTTGGCCCCCAGCCTGCAGGCCACCTGCTGTGCTAAACATCGCTTGACCTCAGCATGCATTTATCTCATCAGGAAATCGGTGTAGTGAACCCAGAGAAACCCCATGCCCTGTAGCTGGCGGTATCTGCTTCCATTCACATCGGGGAAGAGACTCTCCACAGCCCTTGGCGTCGTCCCTTGCTCCTGGAACATGCTTGCTTTCAGGACATGACTGGGCAACAGGAAGCGCAGGACCAAGACCCTCCCTTGGTGTGAGCTCGGTGGAGGGGGGGCCAGGCCATGCTTCCTGCACTGCTCAGCTGCTCTGGCCTTGCTGTCACGGCCCATCTCACAGTCTGGCCGCTCCTCACCGCCGGCCGTCGGGTCTGGGCTTCTTGTGTGTGGTGTCTGCCTCCTTCCAGACCCCAGTCTCTGTGGTGTTGACTGCAGTCGGATCATATGACCCTGACCCTGACCTTGGATGTGGCTTGCTCTGGCTCTTCTTAAACTTGGGCAGCACCTGGGTCCCCTCAGAGGTGGTGTCCTTCGGGACAGGGGTCTTGGGGTTCGGTTAAGTTTCAGAATGTTTCTGAATGGGTAGGACGTGTGACATTGTTTAGAGGATGATAGGCTGTATCAAAACTCATATTATGAGAAAGTTTGGGGAAGGACACATTTTTGTTATTTGTTGTCCCTTTAGTCATGGTACTGATTTCAAGGATTATGGACATTTGCTAGAGAAGATAGGCTTTTTAAAAAAAATATTTCAGTCACAAATGAAATTACATCAAAGCTAATTGCCTGCTTTATTAAGTATTTCCCATCATTGTTTCTTGTTTTTAATTTTGTTTCTGTCTTAAATCTCCTTTACTCTAAGAGAAGTCCAGTCTCTGAGTGTGTAGTGTAAAAGAATAGCCTTGTATGTATGTGTCTTATGTGTCTTATGACCCCCGAAAGCATTTAAAGTTATACTCTTTTTTTTTTTTTTAATCGGAGTAAAGGATTTCAACTCCCATTATTATTTCCTCATAGTTTCTTTCACACCTCAATTTTGGGGCTTTTTCCAGGATCTCCACATCTCCCAGAAGTATACAACCCTGGAGAATGACTCTAGCAACGACAGTTTGGTCCATGCATGGAAGGAGTGAGGGAACGGCTTTTATTTGGGTCCTCTGTGGAGTTAGGTCTTTGGGATCTCTGGAGTACTTGAGTGCTGTGCCTGCTTTTTAGGTCCCTACCCAGTGTCACGTGATGCTCACGTGCCCTCCCGGGCTTCCCTCCACCCTGTCTCCCAGCTCGTATCTGCGCGGCCAGTACTTCCTGCTCATTGCGTTTCTTTGTGCCCAGTTGTGATTTCAGCGTGTTGCCACTTGAGGGCCTTTTAGGTTCTGGTGACAAACCAGAGGACCTAACAGAAGGTTTGCAGGAGAACCGCCCACATGTTGCTGAAACGCAGGACAGCGTGGGTGCAGCGCTGGGCTCCTCTTGGGTGTGGGGGGATCGTTTGTCGTCATGATAAGTGAGAACGCAACCCCCCACCCCCCACGAACAAGTAAGTGTAGACGGCCTCACTGTGGTAACTAGCTGAAGAGGAGTTCAGTCCCTGTTGTGGTTTTGTCTCTTTGGAGAGGTGAAACAACCTTAGTTTCTCATGATTGCTGTAGATAGAGAAGGTGAAACCAAGTTACCATTCAAGAAGGGTCTTCTGTGTCTTAGATTCAGGAGAACAGAACATACAGCCTCATTTAAAACTATATTTATGATTGTTGAGCTGTAGTTCCAGGGAAGAATTCATCATTCTCTAGTGATCTTTTGACTTGGAAGTGAACTATTTTTCCTTTCTGCATTTTATAGCACCCAAGTGACATGCCCGTGCCCAACCCAATAACATGAATTTCTCCTGACACACCCTCAACTCCTGGGAGAGTCTGGGTTCCCATGCTGACATCGATTGAGTTTTGTCCCAGCTTGCCTTTCAGACTCCAGATTCTACTGATGATGAGGGGAAAACAAAATAACAGACACTCCAGGAAACAAGGCTGAGTAATGGTGTCTGTTCTTTAATGAGCCAGGCCATCCTGGCTCCCTTAACCCTTGATTCTTAGATTCTCAGTTGTAATTTTTTATCTTACTTACACTGATTAGGTACTTAAACTGGAGACCATCTTGTTTCTTTTTAATCTTAAAACTTTGATGATAGTGTAAAAATTGGAAATTAGGTTTTGTTTTCCTAGTCAGGAAAGGAGCAGGTTTTTGCTGTTTTCTGGACCATCTCATTAGACCCAAAGTGCCTTCCCGAGTCAGGCATCAGGGAGTGGCAGGGTGGGGACCAGTGAGCCCAGCTGGCGCCCGTGTGTCGTTTGCCAAGACCTGAGTGGACACTGCCTTCACACACCCTTACACAGAGCTGTGGAGCGTTCCTGGCTGTGGCGGGAGCCCAGCAAGGTAGGTTGTGCCTGTGGCTCTCACCCAGAACCGCCATGTCTCTCTAGCAGCTCTCCTCAGGGTGGCTGTTTCTGACCTCCGGACTTCTAGATTTAGGTCCTCCGACCTAAACCCAGACAGATGTGCAAAAATTAATTCTGGAAACAGAGGTCACAAAGGTCGGTCTTCTAGGTTACATTGTTTCTTACAGCTTGGCTCATGTGATGGACTGTTTGAAATGTTAACCTTTTTTCTCTCTGTTTCTTGATAACTCTAGTTACCAGAAAAACTCATAAGCAAATACAGCTGGATCAAGCAGTGGAAGCTGGGACTGAAATTTGAGGGGAAGAGCAAGGACCTGGTGGATAAAATTAAGGAGTCCCTCGCTTTACTGAGGAAGAAGGTTGGGAACATGCAGTTTTCTTCAATAAGTACAGACCTCTGACTCCCGATTTTCCCAGTGCACCGCTGCTTAGTCCTCACCTAGTGGGTCACAGGCTGCCCAGGTGGCTCAGTGGTAAAGAATCCGCCTGCCAATGCAGGAGATACGAGTTCAGCCCCTGGGTCGGGAAGATTCCCCTGGAAAAGGAAATGGTAACCCACTGCAGTGTTCCCTCCTGGAGAATCGCATGGATGGAGGAGCCTGGCAGGCTACAGTCCATGGGGTTGCCATGAATCAAGCATGACTAAGCAACAACAGTGGGTTACCACTTGCTCTTGGCTGGATTTTCCACAAAGTAATTCTAAACAAACACAAACTCTTCCTCTGAGGTGTTTGGTAAAATGAAGTGGTATCAACATCATACATTCTAGAGGAGATGACATGTTAAATGTTTTATTTTGTATAAAGCAAACCTTACAGATGTAGTCTTCTAAGTCATACTGATAAGTTTCAGGGATATCATTAGTCCGTGTATCTCTTACAGTATTATCACTGATGTGAATTCTCATTTATTAAATTCTTCCCAATTATGTTCATGTTTTAATATTCTGTCCATATTTATTAGGTATGTTTTCTTTTATGACGATTGTCCAGTGCAGTAGATTTAGTAACTTGTCTTTTGAAAACTGTCCTCAGGGTTTCTCTGAAGCAGAATTGTGGGAAGTGACTTGGTCAGTGATTTGGTCATTAAACCCTCCCTCTCTGTGGCTCTCCCCTGTCTTACGTGGGTGGGGTATCCTGCTTGCACGCTGGCCCTCTCGGACCTCTCGGTTGCTGGCCTCTGAACAGCCTGTAAGCTCTCCTCACCAGGAACCCTGGACTGAGGGCCTGTTAGTTGTTCCAGGCTTCGTAGATGGAGTAGGGAGGGCTGTAAAGAGGTGTCAGGCATCATCTTTCAAGATTCCTAGCACACACTCCAGTCGTCAGCACACAGACTCCTAACTGTGGTCTGCTGCCCCCATGAGACTTGCAGCCTCACGAGAGACTTCATACACTTCATATGTGCCAGGCTGTACCTGAAGTGTTCTATGTTATGTAATTGTCACCACCATCAGGGCGCTGTCACTGTGGCCATCACATTTTACAGACGAGGAGAGCAGCCTCTTCATTCCTTTGCAGCCAGTGCTAGGCACTGAGCCTGCCACACAGTAGGCATTTGGGAAAGACTTGGTTGAATGAGTAGAGAGCCCTGACTTGCTGGAGGCTAGTTTTTATTTATAAAAACGAGAAATGTGTGCTGGAAAATAATACTGTCAAAGAAGGACTAGTGATAAAGACTTGGGAGCAAGAGAAGGACAGAGGGGGTCTGTTCTTGTTGCCTGTTGAAGCTGAACACAGGATTAGAGGGGCTGGAGGCCCGCCGCCCCAGGCAGGCCCTGGGTTAGCAGCAGGTGGAGCACAGGGCTCTGGCCTTGGGGAGTGAACAGGAAAGCTTGAGCATAGCCACTGGTAACTGTCCATTTTAACTCTTTTTAAGTTCTTGAGAAATTGCTTTATACACCTAATAAAGACACACCTAGTCTGTGGTAATTATATCTTGATTTGGGGGAATGTTAAAGTGATTCCAATTTATAATTATTCCATTAAAATTATTCATTAATTGAGCCAGCCCTGCTAACACCCCGTAGGTGCCAGGCTGTACACTAAAGTGTTCTATATTATGTAATTCTCAGACCAGCAGGGCATTGTGGCTGTGGTTGTGCCCACTTTATACGTGATGAGACTGTGGCCCTGCAGAGGCCAGCAGCTGCTCAGTGGTGAGGCCCTTGTTCATCCTGACTCTGATTCCAGAGCCGTGCTCTCACCTGCCAGCTTGGTCTACTCCTGGAAAATATGAGATGTTGTAGCTTTTAGAGTCCTGTGGCACAGTTATTACCATTAAAGTTTACTCTTGAATTAAAAAATTTAATGGTTTTGCAGAGGAGCAGTAGTTACTGATTATACACAAGGATTAGTTTTGGGTTGGCATCTCTTATTCGCAAGGAGGTTCTCATAACCATATATTTATAGGGTTTTCTTCTTCGCTTAAAGAGTTAGCCTGTGTTAGCTGAATACCTGATTGTTATTGTTCGGTCCCTACGTCATGTCCTACTCTTTGTAACCCCATGGACTGCAGCAACCAGGCTTCCCTATCCTTCACTGCCTCCCAGAGTTTGCTCCCAGGTTCATGTCCATTGAGTCGGTGATACTATCTAACCGTCTTATCCTCTGCTGCCCCCTTCTCCTTGAATACCTGATTCTCTCCTTTATTTTTAATCAGAAGTCAATACGAATTTCCTGAGTAGACTTATTCATCTGAAACTCAAGTAAATTTTTAAGAGGTTACAAGGGTAAGTTTAGTAAACAGGTATTCAGGAGATGCCACAGTTTTCCTTGCCTGTCTTCACGTTATAAGGTTGGCTTGGTGTTTCAGGGTGGTATCGGCTGCCATAAGCCCCTTAAAGGGGAGGGGTGATTTCAGCTATGTTCCAGGGCATCATCACACCAGGTCTCTCAAAAGCATGTTTGCTCTCCTGCAAATATTTGTGCATTGACTGGTTTCATTTCTTTGCCTGGGAAGATACAAGAGTTGAAATTTCCATTCCATGATCCCAGAGCTTCTCCTTAGTGCAGTATACTTTTGTTTCAGATTACCGGGGGAAGAGCTGAATAAGGAAAGTGTGTGGTCTAAAGAGTACAGTTGTTTGAGCTGGAAGCTTGAACGCTGAGCTTGACCACATGACCTGTGGTCGCCTACCTATTCTGAAAATAATTTTGTGCTCATAGTGTGGGGTTTTACCAGGGACTTTCAGAACAACAATTTAATTATTACATAACTTGCTTATTATAGTGGGCAAGCCTGGCTGAACTGAGAACTGCAGAAGCAAGGCAGATGGCTTGTGATGAACTGTTCACAAATGAAGAAGAGGAGTACAGCCTCTATGAAGCTGTAAAATTCCTAATGCTGAACAGAGCCATTGAACTCTATGACGATAAAGAGAAGGGAAAGGAAGTGCCGTTTTTCTCTGTGCTTCTCTTTGCTCGGGATACATCCAGTGACCCTGGTCAGCTGCTGCGGAACCATCTGAACCAGGTGGGGCACACTGGTGGCCTGGAACAGGTGAGTCGCGCCTTGGGGAGTACATTCGCCCAGAGCAGCAGCGTCAGCCATCAATCTCTGCCTCAGTTTCTGTGGATCAGGAGCTCAGGAGCCGTGCAGTTATGTGGTTCTGGCTCAGGGTTGCCGGAGGTTGCAGTTGAGTCTTGCTCAGGACTGCAGTCTCCGGAGGGCTTGACTGTGGCAGAGGATCCACCTTCAGCATGGTGCACACTCACCTGGCTGTTGGCGGGAGGGCTCAGTCCCTCACTGGTGGTTAGTTCCTCGCTGTGTGGGGCTTTCCATAGGGTTGCTCAAATGTCCTCCTGACATGGCAGCTGGCTTCTCTAAAAAGGTGGTCCAAGAAGACCCCCAGGATGCTCCAGTGCCTTCTGTGATCAAACCTTGGAAGTCACTCACTGGCACTTACACTAGGTTCTTCTGTTAGAAGCAGATAAGGTCATTCTTCCCACACTCAAGTCAGGCATGCTGAAGAATTGTGAGCCTGTTTTTTTTTTTTTTTTTTTAATTGGAGGATAATTGCTTTGGAATATTGTGTTGGGTTTCTGCCATGCATCAACATGAATCAGCCGAGGGTATACATATGTCCCTTCCCCTTTGAACCTCCCTCCCACCTCCTAGCCCTCGAGGGTGAACCTGTTTTATAACCACCATGGTTGTCTCAGCCTGGGCTTTCTCCTGTCGTGTGGTGGGTGGGACCAGAACCCTTGGCTCCAGAAAGAAACCACGGCCTGGGAAGGAGTCCTCTGAAGGACCTTGTTTAATCTTGGCTGCTGTCGTATTAGGTAGCATCCTTTAAAAATAGAAGTGGAGTCACTTTAGCCAGGAGAGCCAGCCTGCTCTTGGATCTTCAGCAGGTAGGCTAAGTTTGGGGTTTCACCCAGAGACCCAGTGTGGTGCTGTCCTGTTGGTCACCCGTTGCTCACCACGCTCTGCTTGCTATTTTTCTTTGATGGGTTCATTACGTTGCCCTGAACAGCCTAAGTCCTTTAGTGAAATAGCCAACCACGTGAGAAGCATGGTTCGTGACATTTTACAGGAGACAGGGATCAAGACCATCCCCAAGAAAAAGAAATGCAAAAAAACAAAATGGCTGTCTGAGGAGGCCTTATACATAGCTATGAAAAGAAGAGAAGTGAAAAGCAAAGGAGAAAAGGAAAGATATACCCATTTAAATGCAGAGTTCCAAAGAATAGCAAGGACAGATAAAAAAGCCTTCCTCAGCGATCAATTCAAAGAAATAGAAGAAAACAATAGAATGGGAAAGACTAGAGATCTCTTCAAGAAAATTAGAGATACCAAGGGAACATTTCATGCAAAGATGGGCTCAATAAAGGACAGAAATACTTCTGTTAGCAGAAGCAAAAGATATAAGAAGAGGTGGCAAGAGTACACAGAAGAACTGTACAAAAAAGATCTTCACAACCAGATAATCACAATGGTGTGATCACTCACCTAGAGCCAGACATCCTGGAATGTGAAGTCAAGTGGGCCTTAGGAAGCATCACTACGAGCAAAGCTAGTGGAGGTGATGGAATTCCAGTTGAGCTATTTCAAATCCTAAAAGATGATGCTGTGAAAGTGCTGCACTCAACATGTCAGCAAATTTGGAAAACTCAGCAGTGGCCACAGGACTGGAAATGGTCAGTTTTCTTTCTAATCCCAAAGAAAGGCAATGCCGAAGAATGTTCAGACTGCTGCACAATTGTACTTAAGTAATGCTCAAAATTCTCCAAGCCAGGCTTCAGCAGTATGTGAGCCATGAACTTCCAGATGTTCAAGCTGGTTTTAGAAAAGGCAGAGGAACCAGAGATCAAATTGCCAACATCCGCTGGATCATGGAAAAAGCAAGGGAGTTCCAGAAAAACATCTATTTCTGCTTTATTGACTATGCCAAAGCCTTTGACTGTGTGGATCAAAATAAACTGTGGAACATTCTGAAAGAGATGGGAATACCAGACCACCTGACCTGCCTCTTGAGAAACCTGTACGCAGGTCAGGAAGCAACAGTTAGAACTGGACATGGACCAACAAACTGGTTTCAAATAGGAAAAAGGAGTACGTCAAGGCTGTATATTGTCACCTTGCTTATTTAACTTATATGCAGAGTACATCATGAGAAACGCTGGGCTGGATGAAGCACAAACTGGAATCAAGATTGTCGGGAGAAATATCAATAACCTCAGGTATGCACATGACACCACCCTTATGGCAGAAAGTGAAGAGGAACTAAAGAGCCTCTTGATGAAAGTGAAAGAGGAGAGTGAAAAAGTTGACTTAAAACTCAACATTCAGAAAGCTAAGATCATGGCATCCAGTCCCATCACTTCATGGCAAATAGATGGGGAAACAGTGGAAATAGTGGCTGACTTTATTTTTTTGGGCTCCAAAATCACTGCAGATGGTGACTGCAGCCATGAAATTAAAAGACGCCTACTCCTTGGTCATAATTTTCCTTCCAATCTAGATAGCATATTTAAAAGCAGAGACATTACTTTGTCAACAAAAGTCCATCTAGTCAAGTCTGTGGTTTTTCCAGTGGTCATGTATGGATGTGAGAGTTGGACTTTAAAGAAAGCTGAGCACCGAAGAATTGGTGCTTTTGAACTGCGGTGTTGGAGAAGACTCTTGAGAGTCCCTTGGACTGCAAGGAGATCCAAGCAGTCCATCCTAAAGAAGATCAGTCCTGGGTGTTCATTGGAAGGACTGATGTTGAAGCTGAAACTCCAATACTTTGCCCACCTGATGCAAAGAGCTGACTCATCTGAAAAGACCCTGATGCTGCAAAAGATTGAGGGCAGGAGGAGAAGGGGAAGACAGAGGATGAGATGGTTGGATGGCATCACTGACATGATGGACATGAGTTTGGGTAAACTCCAGGAGTTGGTGATGGAAAGGGAGGCCTGGCATGCTGCGGTCATTGGGTCACAGAGAGTTGGACACAACTGAGTGACTGAATTGAACTAATCTGAGAAGCATCGAGGCTTTCCATTCAGAGTGCCACTTTCCTGCCTGCACGGCTGACTTGGAGCTTGCCTTTTACTGGTTACACAGGAAAGAGCTAAGATGGCGGTCACTGCTGAGTCAGCCAGGATCGAAGATAAACTCTTTTAAAAAAAGTTGTTTGTGCTCGAAATCTGAGTTACTTAGGTCTTTTGAACTGCTGCAGAGAGCTTGCACTAACAAGCCTGGTAGAGCATAGTTTGCATATTAGACTTTTGTTAGTCCTTTCTGAGTCCCCACAAGTCTGCTGTAACATGTTTAAATAGCAGTTTACCCCTTTGAAGTGTGTAACTCAGTGGATTTTAGTATGTTTGTAGAGTTTTCCAGCCATCGTGGAGTCTAACTTTAGACCATGTTATCACTCCTAAAGGAAACCTCATACCCTCATTCCCCTTTCTCCAGCCCTAGGCAACCACTAACTACTTTCTGTTTTTACAGACTTATCCATCCTGAGCATTTCATGTAAATGGAATTTTATAATATGTGGTCTTTTATGACTGGCTTCTTTGAGCCTAATGTCTTCCAGATTCATCAGTATTGCAGCATGTATCAATACTTCATTCCTTTTTATTGACAAATAGTATTCCATTGTATGGATGTATCACATTTCATACATCCACTTCGGTTGTTTCCACTTTTTGGTGATTGTGAATAATCCTGCCGTGAACATCATGTGCAAGTTTTTGCAGGACATATGTTTTTAATTCTCTTGGGTATATGTTAATCTGGGAGTGGAACTGCTGGGCCACATGGCAATTCTTTGTTTAAAACTTTGAGGAACTGCCAAACTTTTTAAAAGCAGCTGCATTCTTTTATATCCCCACCAGCAGTGTTTCAGAGTTCCATTTATTCACATTCTTATCACATTTTTTTTTCCATTTATTTTTATTAGTTGGAGGCTAATTACTTTACAACATTGCAGTGGTTTTTGTCATACATTGAAATGAATTAGCCATGGATTTACATGTATTCCCCATCCCGGTCCCCCCTCCCACCTCCCTCTCCACCCGATCCCTCTGGGTCTTCCCAGTGCACCAGGCCCGAGCACTTGTCTCATGCATCCAACCTGGGCTGGTGATCTGTTTCACCCTAGATAATATACATGTTTTGATGCTGTTCTCTCGAAACATCCCACCCTTGCCTTCTCACACGGAGTCCAAAAGTCTGTTCTGTACATCTGTGTCTCTTTTTCTGTTTTGCATATAGGGTTACTGTTACCATCTTTCTAAATTCCATATATATGTGTTAGTATGCTGTAATGTTCTTTATCATTCTGGCTTACTTCACTCGGTATAATGGGCTCCAATTTCATCCATCTCATTAGAACTGATTCAAATGAATTCTTTTTAATGGCTGAGTAATATTCCATGGTGTATATGTACCACAGCTTCCTCATCCATTCGTCTGCTGATGGGCATCTAGGTTGCTTCCATGTCCTGGCTATTATAAACAGTGCTGTGATGAACTTAGCACATTTTTTAAAAATTGAGGTGAAGTTCATATAACACCAAAGTAACCATTTTAAAGTGTACAGTTCACTCACTTTCGTAGATTTACAGCATTGTGTGACCTTTACCTGTGCCAAGTTCCGAAACAGTTTCCTTCCCCTGAAAGAAAGAAAACCTGGTGCCTAGGAGTCAGTCTCTCCCTGTGATCATCTGTCTGTTTGATTGTAGCTGTTGCAGTGGGTGGGAAGTGGTGTCTCACTGTGGGTTTGATTTGCGTTCCCCTGATGACTTTGCATGTACTTAGTGGTATTTGCATGTCATCTTTGGAGAAGAATCTGTTCTATTCAACTTCTTTGGCCAGTTTTTAGACTGGTTATTGGCTTTTTTATTGTCAAGTTGAGAGGTTCTTAATGTATTCAAACCACAAGTCCCTTATGAGACATATGACCCCTTCTTGATGACGTGTTTGATTTTAATGACCCATACAGAACAGCAGGACCCACACAAGCAGCAGGACTGGGGTTGGGCCACAGGAGGAAGAAGGGCTCGGGCCAAGGCGCTGTGCCCCGCGGGGACCCCAGAGCAGGAGCGGGGGGCCAGCCACATCTTTCAGCCTTTGTTCTCCCTGCAGGTTGAGATGTTCCTCCTGGCCTACGCCGTGCGCCACACCATCCGGGTGTACCGGCTCTCCAAGTACGGCACCGAGGAGTTCATCACGGTCTACCCCACCGACCCCCCCGGGGACTGGCCGGTGGTGACCCTGATCGCCGAGGATGACCGGCACTACAACGTCCCCGTCCGGGTGTGCGAGGAGACCAGCCTGTGAGCCGCGCGCGGCTGAGGGGCGCAGGCAGCCCCTCGCCAGGGCCTCGGGCCTGCAGGTCCCTGAGCCCGACCTTTGAGGACGCCTGGGCCCAGTTAGCCTCGCCGGACTGGAATGTTCTGGGGATTAGCTTTGGCGAATCAGAAGTAACCGCGAATTTTTTCCCCTCATCTATGATGCAGTATGTTTCCGTGGGGACCTTCAATGCACATCTGTTACAAGGTGCAAACTACACCTCCTCCATAAAACACACAGTTTTATATCAGAGGAGTCGCGTGCTGGACAGAAGTGTCCAAAGCGCTCTCTCATAGTAAACTGGCTTTCAATTCTTTTTTTTAAGGTGGTAATTTTTGTTCTGGTGGTTACAGCGTCTGCAGTGCCCTTTCTCTACAACTATGCAATCAGTTCACACGGTAGAAGTCGGGGGCAGAGCCTGCCAACAGCCCAGCATCCATCCCTGCTAGTCTCACCCAGCAATGGTTTGAATTCACATGTTAATTAAAGCTGTTATAAGCCAAGTATCTAATAGAGGAATCAGAACTGGGTCCAAAAGTGAGCTGCTTAAAGGCTAGAGAAGGGGCTACAGGAGGAAGGCAGCAGCCCCAGGACATTGTTGCTCTGCCAGGATGTGCCAGGCGCCTGTGGTCGAGGACACCCTGGCTCGGGAGCCTGGTGCGGGGGTGGGTGATCGGTGGGAGAGCCCCTGGGATCAGGGGCTGTTCCTTCATCTGCAGTTCCACAGATTCACTATCATCTAGTCAGAGTCAAGCTTAGACCCATGTGCATTTTTATAGGAAACCAAGGCCAATTGATGAGTTTCTGGAGAGTGCTTCCATTGCCAGGTTCCTGTCTCACATCTGTTGGAGGGGACCAGTAGCAGCAGAGGGTCTCTGGTTTTCATGAGTAAGTCTTCAGTAGAAGCATGTGCTTGACATGCTCAGAGGCATGGCTGAGCTGCACCCGCCCTTGGTTGGGTTTGGGATGCCCGGGGGAGGAAGCATCTGGCCATGAGTGCTGGCCTGCCTGGCTGGTCTCAGGCGAGGGCGCTGCCTGGCCGGCGAGGGCGGGCACGGGTAGCCCAGCTGAGCCTCGTCTGCATCAGGGCCGGAATCCCCGTGGTGCGTGGACACCTCGCTCTTTCAGACTGTCAGCGGCACCTGGATTGGCTCAGTATTTGTGGAGATGGTGTTACCCTGAAGTACCAAGCTTTATTCTGTAATTATAAATTACAATCTTTATGTGGTTTAATATGATATAGTTGATAAGCTATCTAATCTGTTCTCCCTCCCACCCGCCCCCCAGGGACAGAACTTTTGTGAAAAATGTAAGTTTTGCTTTCACTTAAAAATCAAAATTTTCTGTTGAGAAAAAACTCAGAGGACACATAAGACTATGCAGACTGTTAGACGTGTATTCCTCCCATTACCTCATCAATAATATTCACATTTTGGTAGATACTTAACTCATTAGGGTGTTTGAATTGAATTTTACTCTAAATGTGTGTGAATGTATTGGAGAGGCTTTGTCTTTCACTGTGAAATGCAATGGTGCCTCAAATAATAAGGTACCTAGAAGCCAAATGAAAATAATGACTTCCTGTTGGCTTGGATGCTTCACTTTATGTTACTTGATTTTCATGCAGCTTACAAGAGGAAATGCCTACCAGTTCATTCTTGAGCATGTTTAAAAGCACAACTTCAGACACGTCAGTTGTACAAGGCAGTTGGTGTCTGTGTCCATCAAACTGCTGGCAGATCGCCTGTGATGAGTTTAACAATACTCATGATCTCTGCATTTTTGAGAATGTTCTAGTCTTAGTGAACTTGATCTGGGCTTCTGGGTAGCTCGTTTACATCTCATACTTTTTTCTTGTTCCTGTGTATGATATTGTTAGAGTGTGTGCAGAAATTGTGATCTTAACTACCCCATTGATAAAAAAAACCTCAAAAACGTGCATTTAAGTTGCTTTCTGTCCCAAGGCCATATTAGACTCTACCCTCAGACTGTCTTGCAGGTTTAGAGGGATCATAGCATCAGAGAAGTAAAGCTTTCAAAGAAACAGTACTTCAGGAAATGTAGATGATCGGCGAACTTTAAAAATACATTTTTTTGTTGCACCATCCAACTATAGTTGCCCAGAGTTTTAATTCCGTTTTTCATTCTTGCTCTTGGCCTGGTTGGGTGACATCAGTAGAATTGAAATTGAGTTGAGACCAAAATGGATTCAGGAGGATAATTTACTTGGAGGGGAATCTCTAAAATGGTAAGAGTATTTCTGAAAAAGGAAGATAATAGGAACTACACTTGCTTAAAAGCACTTTCTATCCCAGGATTTATTGCAAGTTTGGAGCCCTCTGGTCTTAGCAGAAAGAAGATACCTGCCTTGAACAGGTGTGACTTATATCTTTGAGCTCATTTAAGGTGCATTAAACCTAAAAAGACTTTCCCTGTAACAAGTTCCATGGAATTAACACTGCTCCTTTCTGTCTTCCCCCTCCTCACCTGCGTTTACAGCTTCCATTGATTTCACTCAATTAGAATTGTGATGGTGGCAGTTGAGAATAAGATGCCAGTCTTGAAATGTCAGTTCCTCTTCCTTGGAGTTCAGCATATCTGAAAACACCTTAAAGGCACAGAACAGGATTGACCCTGCTCTCTACATAGAGCCATTTACACTTTTATTATACTGTTGTACATTCGATTAATGTCTGAAGTTTTCTTTGATTGTGGAAACAGACATCCCCTTGGTATTCTGTCATTCTTTTTCCCTCCAGTTCTAGGGCTTGTCAAGTAAAATCTCAGACCCCTTGAATCTCACCCCACTGTCAGAAAAAACACCTTTGTTGGTGTTTGTGTGCTTGTTTTTCCCTTGTTTATTTTTCTCAGGGCTGTGTTAGCCTTCTGCCCTCTTCCCCTCAGGGTGCTCTTTTACCTAGGAGCCTGCTGTCCCCTCTCTGAGGCACTTCCAGGTGGTGACTGCTAGGTGCCGTTTCAGCCTTGAGCGTCCGGCTTCCTGACGTTGCAGCATAGACGTCAGACAGACCTCCTCCTGACTCTGTCTCCTTTGGGGTGGTAAAGTTTGATCTCGTTCCTGTCTGTCTTTCTAGAGCAAAACTTTGCAGGTACTCCCCCTTTGAAAGCTAGACAGTTATTTTCAGAAATGCAAACCTCCAGGGAATTTTACTTGTACGCGTACACAAAAATACATGGATGCCTTTTTAAAAATGATCTATATCTAGTTAAAAACCATTAAGAATGTGTTTGGAGTGAATCTGAAATGTGTGTGAAAAATATAAGAGTCCCCACATAGTTGAGCAAAGTCAGGGCACAGTATCAAAATAATTTTGCTAACTTACTGATCAGAAATGTTTCAGTTTTACTTAGATAACAAATCACTGGCCACAGGCATTAGTTTTTGTGAAAATTCCCCCAGTCAGTAATGTGTTAAAATGGCCCAAGAACAGTAAGGAGTGAGCTGAAGAGGGACGAACAGATTTTAGATGAGAAAATGCCTTTGAAAAACAAAACGGATGCCTAACAGACCTCCTCAGCTTAAGTTAATAAAAGGATAAAAATCTGAACCAGCGCACACCACTTCTGTGCGTGGATTCTGCAGATTCCTTTTTCTAAAGTTGAAGCCCCCTGTGTAACAGAAGTAGACTGCGTAATGCTGAGCTCTTAGAAAACCTTCTTGGGGGTCTCTTCCGAGGGGCTGGAGAGACCAGGAAGCCAGTGCTGAATCGTGCTGTGAAGTGGGACAATGGGCAGCTGATGATCAGTACTTGTAACTGATCCAGGAAGTAACTTGGAGCCGCGAAAAGCAAATAACTCAGCTGGCGTGGCTGCCCCCAGCCCTGGTGGCCATGAGGGGAGGGTAGGCTTGGCCGTGACTGGAACGGGCGGGCGTGTGTGTATGAAGATGCCTGCTCTGTGGTCTGCAGTCAAATCACAATGTTGTTCCGTGTGTGAGGTCCCACAGCCTGAGACCCTGCGAGTTTGGGAGGGTGGAGGTGAGCTGTCCCTTTTGCCTTTTTTTTTCCCCCATGCTGAATTGCAATTATTACTGGAAATAGTGGAGGATGTTAGTAGGTATCATTAAATTCTCCAGCGTGGTCATAAAGTCTGGAGATAACAATTGTATTGAAATGTGTTATCAACAAACCACTTACTACATTTCTCTCTGTTTCCAGGGGTCTTCCCTTGTGGCTCAGGGGTAAAAAGTCTGCCTGCAATGCAGGAGATGCAGGTTCATTCCCTGGGTCAGGAAGATCCCCTGGAGAAGGAAATGGCCACCCGCTCCAGAATTCTTGCCTGGAGAATTCCATGGACAGAGGAGCCTGGTGGGCTACAGTCCATGGGGTCGCAGTAGCATCAGCACACGACTTAGCAACTCAGCAAGGCCAGGCTGAGACCTCACGGCTCTCTGTGTTTCCGTGCTCATTGGGAGCCAGAGCTGCTTAATAGAGCACTGAGGAGAGCTTTATCTTACTCTGTTGGTTTCTCGGGTGTAGGTGTGGGGCGGGTGAAACTGCCAAAATGCAGGAGATCAAGGAAAGGATCCGAGACTCTAGATTAAACCAATCTTGGCAGCCTTTTCCCCAGTAACCAGGGGTGGTTGAGTTCAGTTCTGAACTTCAAAATAATTTTCTTTTGTACTCAAGACCTTTTCTATAATGAAAAAAATGCCTTGACTTGTTGTCTCACAAATGGTGCTAAACTACGGTACTCCTTCCAGGAGCCAGGGCAGTCTGTGGTAATGCTGGTTACTTCTGAGTATTTCAGTGTGGGAAGAAAGCCAAAGTGAATGTATGTAGTGAGCTCCCTTCTCGCTTCCATTGTCTGTAAACATGTTTTGGTCTCGCCGCCGGGTTTTCGCGGCCTCTGACTCTGTTGTGAATTAGCAGAGGATACCCACCCCTTGTCTGTCCGTAGTGGCGGTTTTCCTTCTCCATCTGCCAGGCTGCCTAAGGAGGGCAGACAGGAATGCAGTGTGAACCTGGCCG